GAAAGGTGCCGGAAGCCTATCATTGCCATCTGTTCCATTAAACTGTTTAATTTTTCGGATACTACGTGTTTTTTCTTATAAGCTGTTGTTATCCTGTAGGAATTCTGCAGTATTTCTCAGGAAACTGCATAATAATTCAAATTTATTGTCAGTTACACTTTTTTCGATTGATGTAAAGTGATCCAAAATAAAAATTTTTATCTACAATTTTCAAGTAGAAAAAAAGAACACTTGGATCAGTTAATGTTCAATTAACTATGGTAACTGTTTTTAAATGAGTGCGAAGTCTACAGAACTGTATTACAGGGGTACTGCCTTTTGCAACGTCTAATACACTGTCAATTTCAGACAAAAAAATGACAACAATTTTAAAGCCTGTTAATGTTTATTTTTCTAAGGAAGAAAGCCTATAATATGTTGCTTAACAGAACAGAATGATTGTTAAGCCTATGGAATTGTATTATAGGAATATTATACTTGTTGAATTTGTCAAACATAAATCAAACTGGTATTCCATTTTGGTTAAATAATTTTTTTTAATATGAAAACGACAATTATATCTGACAAAAAACATGTATCAGTCGGTGTTGATGAAATGAATAATGGAGCTGTAGCTGTATTTATTCATGTCAGGGTTATCACCAAAATTTTCACTGATAAAATTTGCAAACATCATTTTGATGTTTTTTTTTTGTCTTAATGAAAATGATGTTCCAGAAATTAAAAGAAAAGAAGATTGAGCCAGATTTTTGTCGAAAAAACAGAAACAAAAACAAAAAACAGAAAAAACAGAAAGTGAAGATTGCTCTGGAAATCTTCCTAACAAAAAGATAATAATAAACAAATAAATAAGAAATAAAAACATAAAGATGTAGAACATTTTTTACATATTTTTTCAATAGTTATTATTTGGTTTTAATCAAATGCTTCTGGTTAATCATTTACTGATCATAAAAATTTTGCTATCTATTCGTGTTGTGTTATTTTTCTTCTATCATTTCGTTTATTCGTTTGTCGTCTAAAATGGCTGAAACGAATAACAGATACAATAAGAAAATATTATCTGAGTTATACGAGCAACATCGATTTGCAGTTATCATTTGAAAACTTACAAAATTTTTGAGAAGAAAAACAAAAAAAAAGTTTGCTGGTTATAAGTGCAAGGTCAGTGTTCTATACGGTTCTGTTCAGTTTTGCTCTGATCCAAATATTATCAAAATTTTAGGTCATAATCAATTTCGGCCATCATTCAGTTTACAGAAAAAAAAAAGTTGAATAAAATACTTTTATATTCTGTAAAACCTATTCAATTTGATGTGCTAAAAAAAAAAGTTTGCTTTGAAAATGAAAAATTTAGACTAATACTGGGGGATAATTGTAAACCCGAGCAAAAAAACGTTTTACATTTATCAGTGTGAACATCGGGATAAAAATGCCGTTATACAATAACAGACAAAGACTTTAAAACTACAATACGGTAATTATAGAAATAAGCAGCATATTTTAATCTGTATACTAAAAAGAAAAATAAATAAATAGAGTAAAATGAAAGAGAAAAGTTATCGAATTAGAGCAGTCATAGAAAGGAATTCACATATTACCCCGAAAAGTTTATTCGATGGTCAGTTGTTGTTGTTGTTGACTGACTGACTGACTGACTGACTGATTCAGTCTCCAATCTTATCGTTGATCATCGAAAAACTTCTAAATAATTCTAAATAAAAAAAATTTTTTTCTTAACTTTAAAATTTTATACCTTTTTTTCTATTTAAATAAACTGTATATTTTTTTTCCTTTCTGATCTCTAAAAATCTTTTTAAGAGCAATAACAAAAAAAGTGTTTAAAATGAACTGATTGGTATGGGAGAGGAGGAAGAGGAGTAGAAAAAGTAATACCAACACATTAACGATTGCAACTGATCATCTGTAATTTGTCTTTAAAAAAAAGAAAAGAAAAAACAAAGTCTATTAAAGAACATTTTCAGAAAACCAAAAAGAATTTTCAATCAGCACACTTTGATTACCACAAAAATTGCTGTTTATTGTTTTGACTACATTTTGGTACAGAGCAGTATCTGAAATTACTACTAGGAGCAAAAAAAAAAACACCTACTTATTAGCATTAAGATTTGCTAGTAAGTGAGAACATTTGATAAACCTATATCAAAGCTAACTCATCATTACCAATTGACTTGCTACATCAACGAGTATATCCTATTTGAAAAACGCAGTTTTCAACATATTATATTACAGGTAATTAATTATATAGGTATTTGAGAACTAAACTTGGATGACTTTCTGATCAACAGGTTTATTTTAAAAGTGCTTTTGGCATTTACTGGCTGCAAAGTTGGTGCGTATGTTAGATGAAAGAGATACTTCTGTATAAATAAACAAAGATTTTACATTCTCAACTTCAGAGATATCAAGGAAATCCGTCACTTTCCTTGTCTTTTCACTACCCGCATATCGTCAACATTGAATGGTGCAAAAAAAAAAAATTTTTTTTTGACATAACTAAGTCATTAAATCACACTGGCAAAATAAAACAGCAAAAAAAAAAAGCACCAATCTGGCCTTGATCATCAAAAGAACGATGTATCTGTTGGTTTGAACATTTGAATACGGTCATGTTTAGAATGTAAAACAACAAATACCCGTAGAAAATAACCAAAAAAATCCTGAAATTATAGCTCATAAGTTTCAATTTCTATTGAGAAACTGCTGCCAAAAGTTTTGAAGGATTTTTTTAGATTCAAAAAAGAAAAAAAAAA